ATCTGCAACTGGCCTTGTTTTGACTGATGATATAGAGCTTTTCCACCTTTTCTTTCTGCAGATGTCATCAGTTTGATTTCTGTGTATTCTATCTGGTGAGGTCCATGTGTACAATCATTCTTATGCTGTCTAAAGAAGGTATTTGAAATGAACAAATCATGGATTTTGCAGAATTCTATCATCCGATCTCCAGCATCATTTCTATCACCAAGCCCTATTTTCCAACTACTGATCCTTCCTCTTTGTTCCCAACCTTTGCATTCCAATCACTAGTAATGATCAATATATCTTGATTGCATGTTTGATCAATTTCAGATGGAAGAAGTTAGTAGAATTCTATTTCATCCTCACTGGCTTTAGTGGTTGGTGCATAAATTTGAATAATAGTGGTATTAACTGATCTTCCCTGTAGGGTCATGGATATTATCCTATCACAGAGAGTGTTGTACCTCATGACTGATCTGGATATGTTCTTTGTGACAAGGAATGCAACACCAGTCCTCTTCAATTTGTCATTTCCAGTAAAGTAAACCTTGTGGTTTTCATTTTCTAAATGGCCAATACCAGTCCATTTCAGTTCACTAATGCCTAAGATATCGATGTTTTAGCATTCCATTTTATTTGTGACAATTTCCATTTTCTTAGATTTGTACTTCTTACATTTCATGTTCTGATTATTAATAGATGTTTACAGCTGTTTCTCTTCATTTTGAGTTGTACACCATCAGCAAATGAAGGTCCCATGGGTTTTATTTATTCCCATGGGCTTTACTCCATTTGCATCATCACGGTCAACTCTACTTTGAGGAGGCAGCTTTTCCCTAGTCACATTTTGAGTGACTTCCAACCTGCGGGGCTCATTTTCTGGCACTATATCTGACAGTGTTTCTCTGCTATTCATAAGGTTTTTAGTGACTAAATATTCAGAAGTAGTTTGTTATTCCTTCTTCATAGTCTATCTTGTCTGGAAGCTCATCAGAAACCTGTCTACCATGGGTGACCCTACTGGTATTTAAAATACTGGTGGTATAGCTTCCAGAATCACAGAAACTCACAAGCCACCATAGTTCGACAAACTGACAGATGATTACCCCTTGGGACTCCCCAGAAACAGTCACCATAACCTTTGGAGCTGACCTCTCTTCCTGGAATTGAACTGTCTCAACAGATTTTCTCAGAAGTCCTTGTTTTAATTGGACCACTTCTTGGAAACCCTATACATTGTTGCTATGGGTTGGAACCAACTGTACAGCACTTAACAACAACAACAACAACTATATGCACTGGACTGCTAACTATAGGGTCAGAGATTCAAGCCCACCAGCCACTCCATGGGAGAAAGATATGACTTTCTGCTCCCACAAAGATTTAAATGCCTCAGAAATCCTATACAAGGTCACTATGAGTCTGAACTGACTCGCCAGTGCTTATTAACAACAATGAAACTAAAAGGAGAATTGGTAGCCATAGTGGGTTACACTCTAGGATGCTAACCACAAGGTCAGCAGTTCAAATCTACCATTTGCTCCACAGGAAAAAGATGAAGCGTTTTGGTTCTGTAAAGATTTACAGCCTTGGAAACCCTATCCTATAAGTCAGAATAGACTCAATGACATACTGCCCCACCACCATTGAAACTGAGACAAGTGTATTACAGAGAGAACTGTTTTGTAGCCATCCACTGATAGCAGAGAAATGTTTTTACATATGTGGATTATGTCCAGTTCATACATATATGGGTTTATTCCATATTGAATATGCTGACCCTGTAGTAGCAATATGTTTTGACTTATGTGTGGAGTCCTGGTGTGGTGTTGTGGGTTAATATGCTGGACTGCAAAGTTAGTTTGAACCACATCGTTGGTGGTTTACGCTCACCAGCTGCTCCTTGGAAACCCTATGGAGGGTTGCTATGGGTCAGAATTGACTCAACAGCACTCAACAACAACAACAATCCTCATAGATACACAGTTAGTGAAGAACATAATCATTTTAGGTATATGAGCATGTCACCCATTTTTTTGAAGCCTGGTCTAAATTCTGCCACTTGTGGGAAGTAAGTTTTTCTTAATGTCTCCTGGCCATCTGTGCTGGTACTGGTACCATCCTGTCTGGCAAGTGAATATACATTGCCCCATATCATTCTCTAATTACTTCACTATAAATGCTTACTTTACCAGCAAGACTGAATGCTTCTTAAGGATGAAGATCATCGTGCATTTTGCAGACTTTACTGCGCTGGTTGTTTCCCAGGAAAGCAACAGGCATAGTGGTGTGGCTTCTTTGAGATGCTAGATTATTTGTCTCCACCATCACTAGGCCAGGTCAGTTCTGGATGACAGTGCTGAAAGTTAGTTCTTGGATTATTTGTTTAGCATGCAGATTAGATAAGTATGGTGAAAGGATGCAACCTTGAAGCACACCTAATTTTAAAACTGAATGTTTTAAAATTAGTTGTTTTCAAACAACTGCCTCTTTATCTAGCACTGCAGGATTAGTTTGAGCTGCAAGTTCAGCAGTTCAAACCCACAAACCAGTCCTCAGAAACCCTATAAAGGATCATTATGAGTTGGAACAGACTTGAAGGCACTTAACAACAACAATATGCCTATGGTGTGAAGGCTACCTCAGGATAAGACCAAGTACATGAGAGGTCCACTTACCACAGATGTCGACCTAAACAAGTAAGGAATTAATCAGTCAACAAGCATTTTTGAACACCTGCTATGTGTTCATCCTGCTTTTAGTTGGTGTGATAGATCAGCTATATTTAAGGTCTTTACAGTCAGGAAACCAGCACTGTAAGGAGAACGCATTTAGGTAAGTCACTGCCTTTCAGGATTTCAGAAATTGATGGAAGAAACCTCAAGAGAAATGAACAAGGAAATACATGTTGTTCTTATCAAGTTCCATTGGGTCAGTTCTGACTCATAGTGGTCCTGTATAGAGTTTCCAAGGATTGGCTGGTGGGTTTGAACTACCAACCTTGTGGTTAGCAGTCCAGTGCTTATCCTACAGCACCACACCAGGACTCCTAGGAATTATGTTGTTGTTAAGTGCTGTCAAGTCAGTTCCTACTCATAGACCCTGTGTAGGATTTCCAAGGAGTGCCTAGTAAGTTTGAACCACTGACATTGCAGTGCAAACTCACCCTGCAGGCCAGTGCCTATCCTACAACACTACACCAAGATTGCTGGAAGTATATAGTGAGTGACAAAGACAACAAACTAAACCCTGAACACCCCCCACCCCCAACCCACCCACCCAAAGACAACAGATAAAAAGTATGGAATCCAAATGTACTATAGGCTTCAGTTTATGATATTGGACCATTAATTGTAGGGAATATGCTTTACTAATGATAGAAATTAATAGGGGGTACTAAATGCAGGGCATATAGGAATTCTCTGTATTAGCTTCAGTTTTTTCCCAGAAATCTAAAACTGTTCTTAAAAGTAGTCTGTTAAAATAAAAAAATAGAAACAAAATAATAATAAGGTCTTACAGTGTACAGACTCACTGTGGCTTGGTGACAGGAAGGAGTTAATTTGACTGTGACCCTTTTGGAAAGAAGTGTCTTTGTTGTTGTTGCCTTGTGTGTGGCCTGGTCATCGATTTCTATAGCAATTCTGAGTTGTTGCCTGCTTTTCCATGGTTGATTGTCGGCAGGCTGAGGCAGCATTTGTGCACTGATTATCATTTTGAGATGCATTGTCAGTAACCAGGGTGTGTAATGGATCTTCATCTCTAATTACTTTTCTCTCCACAGGTGTCTGGAAAGGGTCCAGATGGGAGTGCACACAACCTCCGCTTTGAGGGGATGGAGAGACAGTACGCATCCTTACCCAGGTATCACTGAGGGGGTCCCATCACCAACTCACCTGCAAATGAAGTCTTTAGAGAAATGCACATGAAATAGAAACCTGGCTTTTGTACAGGGAATATGTTATCATTGTTCCTGACTGCCGTCTGCTGCAACCATAGTGCCATCTTCACAACTGTGCTAATAATTGGAACACTTGTGGGTTATTTGTTAAGGGAAGAAATAGTATATCATTGCAATTGAACATGTCAGCAAGAATATTGGAAAGGGAATGGAAATTCTAAGCCATTACTATAAAATGGTATTGAACATCCTGCACCAAGCTTAGAGACAATAAAATAGTAAATCCTCTTTCCTAGGAGCTACCCACAAGCAAGGGCGGGTCAACCTTCACCTTGGAGCTTCATGTGGGGGTTAAAAAGAGAGAAATGCGAACCTGGGAAGGTATTCTTTGCCTGATTTAGAATCCAGGCGTGTTCTCTAGGCAAAAAAGCAGATATTACCGAGAGGCACAGAGACAGTGAAGGAAAAGAACCAACTGTGTGGGAAAAAGTTCTCTTAGTGATTCGGGCCTAATGTGATCTACTTATGCTGTAACTAGACACCCCTGAAAATGAGATACAGTTCTCAGACGTTTGGGCTCTTATCTAGGAGATGAAGAATAATTTTCGTTTGCTATCAGTAGTGCATGACAAAGAGACCTTTCCAAGACTACAGTCCAGCTACTGTGGGTGTTAGAAGAGTTAAGAATGTGAGAATTGGTGTGTTAGATAAAGAAACAAAGAAAGGCTAATGCCAGCCAGCCAGAGAACTGAAATGGTATGGAGTATCTCCTTTTAAAAATGGGGGAGGACCCCAAATAGAGTTTCTTTATCATCACTGCCGAGTTGTGGCAGTACTAACTCAGAGGTAGAGCGACTGTTTTGACTTGTGCATTGGCTACACTTGTGCCTACATCCTGGAGTCCCTGGATGATGCCAGTGGTTCATGTGCTTGGCAGCTAGCTGGAAGGTTAGTATACCCAGAGGTACCTTAGAAGGAATACTTGGCAATCTCCTGAAAACTCAGCCTTTGAACACCCTATGGAGCATAATTCGACTCTGACACACACGGGTTACATGAGTCAGAGTCAACTTTGCAGTAACTGGTCTATTATATTACTACTGGTCTACTTTACATGACTTGTGCTTTTATAAATAGTATGTTGATTTTCAAAAGGAATAAAATTTCAAATCTAACAGAGACTTCATTTTACCTCTAACTGGATAGGATACATAAAATACAGTATTTCAAAATACAATGATTCTACATGCTATTTTTTAACATGCCTGTTTTTGCATGCTTCTTCAATTTTATTTTCTAGTTTTTTCTTATATTCACTATAGATTTAAGATCCACAAAACTGATAATTTGCTGTCTTGCTTTTGCCCTTCTATTTAAACATTTGTCCATGGAGCTAAAAATGTGCATAAGTTTAATTTTTGATATTATATTCTAGTATTCGATCATGTTG